ATTTATCCTCTGCCCATCACACAACATTAGTCATTACTGGCACACACACTAAAACCAACCTTCTTGTGGATTAAAGTGGGTTTTCATCGCTTTGATGGGCTTGGAGTCCTCCAACCGGTACCACCTTCGAGATGCACAATGAGGAAGGAAAACCGCCTTCAAAAATGACTATTTCATGAGCTCTCCAGAGGCAAAACCTGTGGAATTGACACACCTGCCAGTTTTGCCTCACCATTAGCCAGCATTTTACATCTCTGAACGCCAGCACTGGTTTCGTGCTTTATTTTTGCTCTTTTTCTCGCTGTGCACAAACCCAAACCCAATGAAATGGATTCAGCAGCAGCCACTCATCCCTCCAAGCCCCTCACTCCCTGACCACGCTGACGCTGGGGCACCTCCCTTTCTCCCACCCTGCACACAAAAATTCCACCTTGCTTCAAGCAGAAGGAAAACTCTGCCTTCCCCTCCAGCCCAAATCTGACAGATCCATGATTGTTCACTGCCATTTCTCGTGTTTCAGCCGTCACCTGGCTCAATATTCGGCACAGATAAGCTGGAACTGGCCTGAGTTAGACCTGCTCTAAGTAGCATTCACAGAAAATTTGGCCACACATTCTATAGTTTCATAACTTTCAAGCACCTTGGTGGATTTCTGTTCAGTCTGTGATTATCCTCCAGAAGTTACTGAGGCAGAACACATTAAGAGTCACTGGAAAATACAGTCCTTAGGGATCTCAAATAAACTGGCCACCAACACCACACAGACATCTCTTTCCTGGAGAATACTTATTAAAATATTTTATAGGCAACACAGTGCAGGAGCTGCTGGGATAATAGAGCAGTAATAAAATACAACAGTATTGGAGATAATACAAAAGTCATAAAAAGTTCTTCCTTTTATGAAGTTTTAGTGGCCCAACAACAGCACTTTTAAGGAACTGGGTGTCAAGACTGGCAGCAGAACAACTAAAAATAAGGCAGATTTTAGAGCACCACCTCCTTGGCCTAAGGCAAGGCCTAACGCTGAGCAATTCCAGACATCCTGATGGACAGAGGGGCAGGAGAGGAGTGGAAGTGTTGGAAAAGGCACCAAACCAAAAAAGGACCCTGCCTGACTTGCAGCACTGCCCTGGGAAGAAAATTGTTGTTGGAGCTCAGGACGAAGCAAAAAGCAACGAACTCACCAGCCCCAAGACCAGTTTGTGCCATCACAAACTTAGTTTGATACGATAACCAACAGTTTGATGCTCAGTTTGGAACAAAGCACTTCTTACTTCACCTCCTCCCAAAGAATCCCTCCTGGGAAGGAGCTCTGCAGGCCCAGGGAGGGCTCTCCCCACAAGAGCAGATCCCACACCTTTCCCACAGCAGCACCCAAAGCAGCCCCTCTGGCTACTGGAAATAAATGACCACGAGTGGCAAAATTCATGAAAAGAGATGTCTGAAAGAGCATCCCTTCCTTTCCACTCCCAAACTGCACAACCAGGCCTGGATCTCAGGGAGACCAACGTGGCTCCCTGTGACCTGCACTGGTGGACACAAGACAAGTCCAAGGTGCCCATCCTGAGAAAAATAACCCAGCAGTTACAACCTCATGTTCCAGGGTGGAAAAGGCCACCAACACCAGCCTGCTGCCACACTTTCATCTCCCCCAACAGAAGTTACATTTTAGCTACAGTTATTTATATTGTGAGCCTTTAACCACAACAAGTCTCCTCACCTTCACAACCTTTGCTTGCTCCCAAAATGGAATTGCAGCAAGTAAAACTGCTGGTCGTTATTTTCCGAAGCAGCATTTATCCAGATATTCTGAACAACTGAAATTAAAACTGGTGCCTCAAAAATATGATCACCACATTCTGAATGATCACTACAAGCATGGTTAACCACTACTGATTACCCAGGAAGAATTCAGAACCTGTACAGCATCACCTAATACAAAACTTTCTCAGCGTTTATCTACCAGACACCAATGTCAGAGAAAGCAGATCTAATCAGAGATAAATAGATTTGGCTTTCTTTTTTTTAATGTTTGTGTTTATCCATTATCTCTGTTTGTGTCCACAGAAATGCCCCAAGTACCAGGACAGTTCTGTGCAAGTAAGAAACGGTCTAACAAATAATGTTTTGATAACTAGCCTGTTTTATACATACAGTGATTCACTGGTTAAGTAAACAACATAGTTATTTAGCAAAACATCAATTTATAACAGAGTGCCTAAAACAACCTTTCTGTTCTCCTACAGAAAAACAGTATTAAATGTCTCATATAGAGAAGAATAACATGAAATAAAATAACAACAAAGGAAAACATTATATTCACTGCGCAGAAATAATTTCAAATAACTTTTTAACAGATCAGTCTTATTAATTACGGAACATCCAGAGCAACTTAAAGAGTTTGAAGCATTTAAATCTCACGTTAAAATTCAAACCACTCGTTTTTTTCTTATTTATGAACTTTGAAATACACATTTTGACCAAATGAACGTATTTTGCACCTAAGAGCTTATTTCAAACTCTTCCTGGTATATTCAACTTCACACCTCTACCAAGCTGCATTTGTGACTCCAGCTCCTCTAAAAATACACGCACCAAAGCTTTTAAAGACTTCCTATACTTTCACTAGCAGTGAAATTCTTCAGGGCTGTTATGTTTAAAATATGTAACGTGAGTTTGAGTCACATATTTGTTTCTCCTCCTTGACAGTATGTTGCTCCATTTCCTATCGACATGGCATCCCCTCAGAGGCCCCCACCAGAAAAAAAAACAAAAACAAAAACAAATTAAAAAAAAAACAGAAAATATTTCATAAAAATCCCCTTTCACATCAAATTGTTTCTCTTTCAATTAACACCCAGCGGTTCCACCCAGCTCTCCCTTATCACTCCTGGCATGCCTCTCGCAAAAAGGGCAATCCATAGATTGGCCTGAGCTCATGGATTTTATCAAGGCTTTCCGTATCAAACAGGTGAGCTGCTTTACCTGCACTGCACCCCGGGAACGCACGACGGGGCAACAACCACGAACACCTGCCCTGCCTGCAAACCACTCACTGCCGAAAATTCCCGTCCCTCTTTGTCCTTGGACTTGGCTATCACTTCCAGAGCCAGGGAGCTGCCAGGGTGTAGCTGCTGTCGCCTTGGAGCCCTGCAGCTGCGAGCATTCACCATTCAGCTTGTTTATGTTTTCCCCTCGCTGCGTTCCTCTTTAAATTCTCCAGGAGGGCTCTGGAAACGGGGCTGGAACAGCGACACGGATCCCAAAAAACCCCGCACACGCCACATCCACCTCCCCACCCCGGCGGCTGCAGATGCGCGATCCCCGGGCACGGGGGAAGTAAACACGAGGGATGGGAGAGCCGGGAGCTGACAGACAGCCCTGTCACACCGGGATGGCAGCATTTCCCGATTTATCCAGGGGGAGAGAGCCGGCGAAGCGGCAGGGAAAGGGAAAGGCCGGGCCGAGGGCGGCGGGAGGGTCCAGGCGGTGGGGACGGGAAGGGAGAGAGCGGAGAGGGGAGGGGGCCTTCTGCGGTGAAACAGGGGGGAGACACCGAAATAAATAGATGGAGATACACCTAAATAAATAGACGGGCAGATAAATAAATAAATGACGGGGTGCTGGGGAGGGGGGGGCGAAAGGGGGCGGGGAAGGAGCCCGAAGGAGAAGCCCGAGCGGCGCAAGTGCCTCCGCGCGGGGTCCGTCATGGAGGTGCCGCCTCACCGCCCGCTGCCGGGGGGCAGCGCGGGGAGCCCCCCCCTCACACACACACACACACACACCACCCACCCGCACACCCGCCCTGCCCCGTCCCCGCCGCGCCCTCACCCCTCCGCAGCGCCTCGTCGTAGCCGAGGAAGCCGATGCGGGACTCCTTGGCGCCCATGGTGCCGCTCAGTCCATGGCCGCGGCGGCGGCGCCCGGCGGAGCCGCTACCGACGGACGGGGCGGGGAGGGGCGGAGGGGCGGGGGGGGGGTGGGGGGGGGGGGGGGGGG